GCGGGCCGTCTCATCTCCTAATCCCTTTTTTTTTTTTTTTTTTGTCTTTTGTCTTTTTTCCGTGTCCGACAACGGATTGCAACACTCAGTGTTGCCCCCGTACCGGACCGGGGACCGGCAACGGGATTGCAAGCCTCGGCGTTGCTCCCGCGCCTCGCTCGGCCAGTGAGCGGGAGCCGGTCTGTATGTGGGATCCGAACCCTCGGACGGGAGCGCCGCCGCGCTTCCCAAGCGGCGCACTATCCAGTGCGCCACCGGGCCGGCCCCTCCTAATCACTCTTAATTCAACCCTTTACAATAATTATTTCAGCACTGAGAGTACTGGAAACCTAAGCTGGTTCAGAATATGTCAGCTATTGCCTTAAAGATAGTCACATCAAACTTATATTTCAGAAGCCACAAACCACTTACTCTGCACTTTAAACATATCAAATGCTGTAGGCCATTTGCCACTCAAGGTGATAGCAGAAATGTCTAAGTGGTTCCAAGATGTGGTTTAAGCAAATATTTTCATTTTGAAAACCCAAAAATCATCTGTTCTCAGCCCTAACTTTAAACATCATGGCTTCTGATTTCCAGAGTAGTTATTTTTCTTAGGACCTGAGGCAAAGTTGGGAAAACCCAAATCATACAAAACTATCACTAAGATTCTATTTCAAAGAAACACAAAGCCAATACTAAAATTAATGTCCAAAAAAAAAAAAAAAAAAAATGGTGCAGCAGCACCAGGAAAAGAGGCCACATCAGGTCTCACATCACCTTGACCATTCCAGACTCATATTTTATTTGCCCACCTCCCTAATGCTTTACCCTATAATCAGTCCCAGTGTGGCTATAGGGAATAAGCAGGGGACTGGGCCTTGATTTTTTTTTTGTCCTTTTTGAGGCTGGCCGCACTGCGCTCAGCCAGTGAGTGCTGTGAGCGCACCGGTCATCCCTATATAGGATCCGAACCCGCAGCGGGAGCGCTGCTGCGCTCCCAGCGCCACACTCTCCCAAGTGCGCCACGGGCTCGGTCCTGTGTCCTACTTTTAGTAACAAATCACTGAAAGGATTAAAATAGTAATTTTATTTATTTTGACCAAGGTACAGATTCAATATGGTTCTGGGAAACAAACAATGATCAAGACCAAATACATTATACAGCTTCTCCTCCCACTCCTCTACCTGCTGCATCCAACACATACCTCAGACCTTCACTGCTGCTGGGAAGGGACTTACCTGGAAAGGAAAGCTGGACTCAACACCGAGAGTGATATCCTACATCTGGTACATTTCATGATATATTATAACCTGGAATTTTCCCAAGACATGTTTGGACATACTTGACTGTAAGACCCAATCTTGACCATGCCTATAAAATCTAATTACTAGCCCTCGCCCACTGCCCCCAAGTTCTACTGCCAAACTGGAGCAGTTCTGGAACTACTGCAAAAGCCTAAAACAAATTACATCATTGAGTCTCCTTGCAGAACAGAAGGTATGCTAAATCTTGAGGTAGAGGTATTCAAAATCAGCCCTGGGCATTTCTAATAGCTTTCATTTTGGTCTTCCTCATGTTCCACAGAGCAAGGAACACTCAACTCCCTTTTCTATCACCACGATTCTGGTCTTTGACTTCCACCAAAAGGAATTCATTTGCTGGTGGCTGCAGTCTATCATTGCACTAAGAAAGATCTGCTAAATCATCTGTTGAAAGAACACATATAGTGAAGCCCATTAAAGTCTTGCCCACTGACAGCACTCTGGATGGTTGAAGAGACTATACACCATGGCTGAGGTTACCTCAACAGAGATTCCCAAGGGATCCAAGTAGCAAAATAAGCCACAAACAGTGGTTTGCTGCATTAGTAGCACTGTAGGTAGATAAAATTTAATAGCCCAGCTACTTTTCTCAAGTTTCTTGAGGATGCAAACTACTTACAACTCAACTTCAGCTATGAGATTATTTTTTTCCCTTTTAACAACAAAAAAATAGCGTGTGGCCTTTTGCCAGCATTCTATCATTAGCTATAATTATCTCCTCTTTTACCTCTTTGGAGAGAATTCTGGTCCAGGCATGACAGAAGACACAAATCAAACTGAGGTTTGTTGCCTATTCCACTTACTTAGTTGTCACTGATCTTTGTATGTTCAACTTTTAAACAACTCAAACATAATCCACGTTTTCCTTCCCTTAAATGTATACACTAGCTAATAAAAAAACACTTTAACCTATTTACAGGACAGAAGTACCTGCAAGCCAACGATGCTATTTTAGCAACATCCCGTTTCTGTCTAAATGGCAGTACCTGTGCAATTAAATAAATACATATAGTAAAAAGCAGAAATAAAATGTACTTATAGTCCTAAGACAAAAAGCTTAAACTATAATTCAAACAAATATGGACACCATCAGGCATGGCCAAAATAATATACTTACAACCTTCATAAGGTTATTCACTAGAATAAATGTACAGTTGTGAAGGAAAAAAAAAAGATTATAAAGGCTAGAAATATGTCAAAGAATGTGTGAGAACAGATTAAGGCTTTAATGAAAAACAGCTTTAGCTCACAGAAACACAACCCATCTCAAAACAAACAAGCCCATTCTAAACTTCAGGCCCATTTCTACACACTTATGATTGAAAGTAAGGGAGTATTTAAACAGGACAAGTAAAAGTCACTGTTTAAACAAAGTTAAGAGTCAAATGGTACACTTTAATTATTTACCAAAATCCACCACCCGCCACCCATCACATATTCTTATATTTGTAGTTGGGAACCAGAGCAGTGGATTTTTAACTCTAGATATAAATTAGAATCACTTAGGAAACTTAAAAATATCTATACCAGAGCCCTCTTCCAAACAACTTAAATCAGAATCTCTGTAGGCATCAAAGCTGAGAAAGACAGAAATATCTATCCTTTTCCTACTAAGTCTTCCTGAAAAATAATCTAATACTGACATGCTATACTTCCATCTAAAACACACCTTCTACAACCAACCAAAAAGTTAAATATGCAGCCAAAAAAAGGTTAAAAGATCATGTTTGCTTAGGATATTCAACCCAAGAAATGAGCATAATTTTACAAATTCATTTTTACCCTTAAAAATAAAGTTCCAAAGCAAACTTCTGCAATCCCTCAGTATAGAGTAATGAGAATACTCATTCTTATTTGACAAGCCTTTGTTCTTAGAACAAGAAGCTTTTTAAGTTTACTATGAAAGTCCTATTCTGTTACTGAGAAATCAACAATATCACCGAACTTAGTGATTCCCATCCAACTATAATTGTATATTTTTACAAGAAATTACCATACTTACCAACATTTTCTTTACCCGTTTCATAACCTAACACTTTCCAGTTTATATGGCCAAAGCCTAGTCATTCACTTTAATTAGACAATTACTTTAAACCCTAGTAATCATTCTAAAATGAAGCTATTCTTACCATAAGTACCATTCTGCTAACCACAAAATTTAGAGAATTTATATCTGGATGACAGCACCGTGTGTTAATTACAGGATATGCGTTCCTTTAGAGTCCATTCTGATGTCACAGAACCTAAACACAGCTGCTTGGTGTCTAGATCACTTGGGTGTTGGATTAAAACTACTGCACATAGGTAAGTTACTTATTTAGTGAGTAATGGCATAAAGTAACAGAGGAAAAAAATGTATTTCATGTGAAAGCAGAAAAGACTAAAATGAAATGGAGACATAGAAAACTAAGGGCTTTTTGCTTTGGACAATTAACTCCGCAAGCCACCAAAAAAGCTATAAATTAGATCAGAGAAGAGATAAAAAGTGGACCATTCGAGAAAATTTACTCAAATTATATATGCATATTAAGATTTTTTTCTGTATCTTCCTCAAGCATCTTAGAAAAGGGAAATGCTATTAATTTCCCTTTTGTTTCCAAATTCAATAAAGGACAAAACAAAGAAACATTTATTTACTATACTCACGCAAATAATGATTAAATGTCCTCAAGTTTACCCTGGTAGCTTAAGATATCACATACTAGTTCCCACAGAACTGTTTTTAACTTCTAATCCTATTCAAAGGATAGAAGGGGTAAAACTCATTAAATATTGAGCACTGCCGCTTCAAGTGCCACTTCTGTCTTTGGGTGAACGTACATAATATGAAACCATGATTCAATAATAGTTTTCTATTTGGTTTCACTAGCATCACTTCAAAACTTAACCCAGGCTAATGCTTTAACAGGTTTCTTATCTGAGACAAATTTAACTTTAACTCAAAGATCATATAACTTGACAAGTAATGTACAAATATTTAAGAACTTACTAATATAATGTTAATCATTTGAAAGAGTCCATGTAATATACATAGCAATATTTATAATCAGAAACTGCCCTGATATAAGTAGACACATCACTTTAAGTTCTACCTGAAAACATGCTGTTTTATTAAAACAAAATCCCAAAAACTTAAATCTCAAATTATATGGTTGTACAAATTAGTTCTTACCGAAACAGCACATTTCCTTTCTTACAGACAATATGCAGGAAGAAGAACCCACAAAAAGCATACCAGCAATCTGACAAATCATACTATATAGAATACAAATAAATCCTGAAGTTAATCTGAAGAATGTCAAAGAGTTAACAGAGAGATATGTAGTGGCCTTGATTTTTATTTTTCTTTTCCTAGATTTCTACAAATTCTAAAATTTATCAATTCATTTGTCTTTTTTTAATAAACAGCACCAGTCTTGCCCATTGATACAATTAAAATTTGACTTTCTCAGTTCTTAGTTCACAAGTTTATTATGAAAAACACTGCAGTGCTCTTGTGCAGTAACATCGTCTTACAGAAGGGGAGGGAAACAGTTCTGTTCAAAACAATTCACCAGGTCTGACAATAACAAACAACATGGGGCTTATATTTGAGAAGGGAATAGACTGAGCGCAGACAACTCATACAATTAAATTAAACGTATCCCTGAAAATAAACAAAACAATTTCAAAACTCACAAGTAGAGGGGAGGCCTTGGTACTTATTTTAAAAATGTTCATTAAGCTCCAATGATTGTTTGCTGCTATCCTTATCTACAGTCATGCTGAGTAAAGCTATAGCTAAATGGAAGTTAAATTGTATTCACGAGGTGTTAATGTTTACATCTTATTATCTGCAGTCTCTCAGAGAAAGCAAAAGTAACTACAAATAGCACTATGCCAGAAACTGTTTCTTGACCAACAATGTCGCTTCAGCATGCAATGAACTGGTTCATTCTAAAGTGGTCACGGCTGTTGATGACAAGAGGCTTTGTATTTTTTATATGGCACATCTTTTGGTCCATGTGAAAACAAGTTTTTTGAATGTTAACTATTTTCTGACACTTTGGAGTTACTGTTGCTCTTCCCATTTCCATTAGGTCAATATATGGTTCATGGCAATACTGTACAAGTTTAAAATTTCATTACAGGAAGTAGTCTGGGGTACGACGAGTAACGTGTGGTTCGCCTCTACGAGGTGCTGGGTCAAACTGCAAGCTGAAAAACAAGACATTTGTTGTTTATGTTCCAAGACATGCCTGTATTAACAATCAAATCATTAACATTAGTCTTTCAAACTTTATACATTTTTTTCTATCCAATTTCAGCTTGCTTTAATGTAATAGAACCCTAATCATAGCTGAATCATGCATTTAATAAGGATCTTCTAATTGCACTCCCCTCAAAAGAGCCAAGGCAGGGCCAGCCCGTGGCTCATTCGGGAGAGTGTGGTGCTGATAACACCAAGGCCACAGGTTCGGATCCCATATAGGGATGGCCGGTTAGCTCACTGGGTGAGCCTGGTGCTGACACCACCAAGTCAAGGGTTAAGATCCCCTTACCGGTCATCTTTAAAAAAAAAAAAAAAAAAAAAGAGCCAAGGCAACTTCAGCCAGACAGGCTACGTTTTCATATACCAGGGTTCCTTATAAGGTCATTTGAAAAGACGGTTCTACTAAATAAGTAAATTTTAAAGAGCCTAATGTACTGTATCTGTAATTTCATCCTCAGGATATATTTTAATAACTCTATTATAAAAACATGGATTTAAAAGTGAAAAACTGAGGGCCAGCCAGCCCATGGCTCACTTGGGAGAGTGTGGTGCTGATAACATCAAGGCCACGGGTTCGGATCCCTATATAGGGATGGCTGGTTAGCTCACTTGGGAGAGTGTGGTGCTGATAACATCAAGGCCACGGGTTCGGATCCCTATATAGGGATGGCTGGTTAGCTCACTTGGGAGAGTGTAGTACTGACAACACCAAGTCAAGGGTTAAGATCCCCGTACCGGTCATCTTTCTTAAAAAAAAAAAAAAAAGTGAAAAACTGGGCTGGTTGACTAGCTCACTCAGCTAGAGGGTGGTGCTGATAACACCAAGGTTAAGGGTTCGGAACCTCATATACCAGCCAGCTGCCAAAAAACAAATAAACAAAAGTTTAAAACCTAATAATTCATATTAGGACTTACATATATATTAGTAGTTTCTGTTGATGTGTTTCAATTTAACATAGGTCCATTTCAAAGAGAACTTAAAAATCAAAGTTAGAATTTGATTCAGCCTGAGCTTCTGAACTCAAATCTCCCTTACAAATTATACATTCAGTAATGGCAATCAAATGCTCAGGTGTAAATACTTACAAAGAGTATTTTAGAGTATCATCAAGTTCCATGATTGCAGCTTGGTTACCACAACGATAACAATAGTTTGGAGCACTGAAAATCGTTACTACATTCCGGTCATGGCACCAGTTATATCCCTTCAAGGAAAAGCAAGGAGATATAAATCTACTTTACTCCCTTATTTACACAACTAAATGTGATTCCACTTAAGAGTGAACAAAGCTCTCTAACGGCCCCCATCCCCTGGCTCCACCCAGGGATAAGAAATGTGAACGCTTTTTTTCTAGTTATTTAATGATGTTCTGTACTTTGTACAACCTATAAAATACATATATATTTCTTTTTCTCGGAATTACAAAACTAGTTGTTATTATAAAAAGAAAAGACACCCTTAATAAATAGCACCAATCACCACAGAACAAACTGTAAATATATCTGGTCTTCTGTAAGTGCCAGTATCTCATCAGCCTCTTATTCCAATGGCCTTAAACATAATTTTAAGAGTGAGTACTTATATGGCCATTCCTTGAAGAGGCAGTGGATACATACTCCTGGAGACCAGAACCTTAATAATTTTCTCCTCAGTTACAGGTAAAGGCTCCTAAATTGGTCACTCCCCAGGTACAAATGAGATACACCTCCTAGGATCTCCAGCCTCACTCCCTCAAAAGCCATCTGAATGCATGAGCTACCTTTGTCACTTTTTGTTGTCTAGTATTGTTCATAAACTTCTGTCCCTATCTTCAGCAAAGTCAGATTTTACTGATAACAAGCACATAGCTGAATCAGTATTAATCTAAACAGAACCCTAATTTTAAAAGTATGCTTATCAATACCCTATGCTAAGAACCTTAGCCTTTAGTTTCTTTTTTCAAATCACCAGTAATCCTACCATCTGAAAGACCACTTAAAACACTTTGGTATATTTCTTCCCAGTCTCTCCTACATACATACACATTAAATATATGAAATAAACAAAATTGGGGTCATAAAATGTTACACCTCCCCCCCAACTCCCTGCATCCTACTTTCCTACCCTTAAATCCCAGGCACTGTCCAATTAAGAATTCTTGGAAAACACGATAATTACGTATTTCATTGTGATCAAGAGGTTGAGATTTTAATTCTAGTGTGCATGTACTGAAAGGACTCAGGCTATAATAGCAAACTCATTAGATGGAATTTCTCACTAATATCATTAATTTGAAACTCCCTAATATCTTCTTTCCTGAAGTTTACTGAAAAGCAAATCAAGTTTCAAAGAACAGCACATACCTCCATCACAAGCTGGTGAGCTCTAGACACCAACGTGAGGCCATTGGCGTGATTAAATGTCTCAGAAATATCTTGCCCAAAGGTGTAGCCAGCTCCTCGAGGAGATATACCCCAACCACCACGGTCATCTGGATCTGACCACAGCAAGTCACACATTGGACCCTAAAAGGCAGGTTCAAGTTACAAACTGCCTTTTACAAAAATGAGTAACAGATGATTTGAGTACTTTAACAGAAGCAGCACCTTAAGTCACACTTTTTGAATGATGTTTGCTGAAAATGGTTAATAGATTTTGCAGTTAAAGTCAACTATCTAGGGCCAGCCCAGTGGCGCACTGGAGAGTGCACTGCTTGGGAGCGCGGCGGCGCTCCCGCCGAGGGTTCGGATCCCATGTGGAGACCGGTTCCTGCTCACTGGCTGAGCGTGGTGCGGGTGCAACACTGAGGGTTGCGATCCCGTTGCCAGTCAGTAAAAAAGACAAAAAGGAAAAAAAAAAAAGTCAACTATCTACATCAAATAAGATAGTCTTTATGAAGCATACATCAATGGGTCTCAATAGAAACATGCCCTAACTAACTAATCTGCCTACAGTAGGCAAATTTCAATGTTAAGCAGTATAGGCTAGTGGTTAAGGCAGTCCTAATAAGAATCAGCAGTATGATTTTTAAGACCCACATACCTGCCCATCCACCAAGGCAGTGAGAGGAAGATAGTCAAAAAGATCTGTAAAATATTTCCAAACATTTGCATTTCCATATTTTCTTAAACACTCATCATAGAAACCATAAACTTGTGTGATCTGTCTGCTCTCATGATTCCCTCGAAGAATGGTGATGCGTTCACGGTAACGAACCTAAAACAACAAAATAGAAAACATAAAGAGCCAGCTCTTTCAAAAATCAAATAATAATTCAGGAAATTTTCTGTAGGGAAATCCAGAGTTCCAATTTTCTTGAAAAAATATCACACACGCCCACATCACACAAAATTGAAACCACAGCTCTACACTTTTAAATGCCCACAGGGTGTTTGCCAACCCCATTTCAACTAAAATCAAACTCCCTCTACCAACTTTATACCAAGAATAATCATGATGTACATAACTCCATAAATGAATTTGGTTCTTAGAAATTTTCCATTACCCCAAAAAGATCCCTCATGCCCGTATGCAGTCACTCTCCACTTCCACTCCCAGCAACCACTAATCTACTCTCTCTTGAGATTGCCTTTTCTAAAAATTTCATATAAACACAATAATACAAAACGTAGTCTTTTGTGTCTTTTTGTGTTAAATATCACTTAGAATATTTTTCAGACTCATCCATGTTGTAGCAAGGATCAGTGGTTTGTTCCTTTTTATAGTGGCACTGTATTTCATTGTATTGTTAAACCACATTTTATTTCTCTAATCACCAGTAGGATGAACTGGTGATTGTTTCCAGTTTATTTGGCTATTAATATTGTTGCTATGATCATTTGCATGGACGTTTCTTTTTTTTTTTTAAAGATGACCGGTAAGGGGATCTTAACCCTTGACTTGGTGTTGTCAGCACCACACTCTCCCGAGTGAGCCCACAGGCCGGCCCAATGCATGGACGTTTCTATGTGAACCTGCTTTCATTTCTCTTGGGCAGACTTTTACATACTATAGGTGTATGTTTCACTTTTTTGAGAAACTGTCAAACTGTTTTTCAAAGTGGCTGGGCCATCTTACGTCCCCACCAGCAATGCATGAGGATTCTAATCTTTATGATTCTAATCTCTCCGCTTACTCACCAACACTTGGCATCATTACCTTACTGATTTCAGTGATTCAAATGGGTGTGAAGTGGTATCTCACTGGACTTTAATTTGCATTTCACTGATGACTAATGATGTTGACCATCTTTTCATGTGCTTATTGACCACTGATTCATCTTCTTGTGTGAAATATCTATTCAAATATTTTGCCCATTTTAAAATTATGTCTTTTACAGTGTTGCAACGGTTTTTTATTTTAAAAATTGAATACAAATACTTTTTTCTTAGTGATGTCTTTTGAAGAACAAAAAATCAATTTTGACGAAGTCCAATTTTTCAATTTTTTTAATGGATCATGCTTTTGTTATCATATCGAAGAAATCTTTTCCTAACCCAAGATCACAAAGATTTTCTCCTATGTTATTTTCTATAAGTTTTACAGTTTTAGCTCTTATACTTAGGGCTATGATCCATTTTGATCCATTTGTTCCAGCACCGTTTGCAGAAAGGACCATCCTTTCCCCCAGTATTTGTTTGCTAGGGCTGCCATAACGAAGTACCACAGAGTGGGCGGCTTTAAACAACAGAAATTTATTTCCTCAGTCCCGGAGTCACAAGTCCAAGATCAAAGTGTCAGGAGAGTTGGTTTCTTCTGATGGCTTCTCTCCTTTATTTATAGATGGCCATCTTCTCCATGTGTCTTATCTTCTTCTCTATTTGTGTCCTAATCTCCTCTTCTTAGAAGGACACCATTCATTGAATTAGGGCCCACCCATATGACTTTAAGTAAAGGCCCTAGATCCAAATACAGTCACACTCTGAGGTACTAGGGATTAGAGTTTCAACATATGAATTTGGGGGACAAAATTCAGTCTGCTACACCCCCTGCATGAATTCTTACAGACAGGGCATTTATTCCTCTTCTGAGCACTGGAATTCATCCTGGGCTTTAAGCACAAGTTAGCTTGCAAGCTGCCTTCACAGCAGAAACCTTCCACTATCTAAACCAATTTCATTTTACAGATGCAGAACACAATGACATCCAAAAATGCATCACAGTACTTTATACAACTCAGATTATTAATTGCCTAAAATTCAGCTCTTGCTGAAACCACATCTCACTACTTCTTTACTATTAGAAAAGTCTGTTGCAGTCAGTTTATTGTTCTGAATATTCTTTAATAAAAATGATCGGACTAGGAAAAGCAAAAGAAAAAAAAAAAAAAAACTTCTCCCCAAAAGGTAAAGTCAAACAATTTCTTTCAAGGAAAAGGCAGAAGCCTACCACCCTACAAGTTATTTTGTACTTCACCTCTAGATCTTCATTTGTACATTTCACAAAGCTACAAACTGGTATACATATAATTTTGCAACTTGCTTTCTTCAATTATAATTTCTACTGTTCTAGATTATGTCATGTTTAATGGCTGCAAACTAGTCCACTGAGATAAACTGTAATTTAGGTATTTACTCAATGTTGAATATTTAGCTCAATTTTTTTTTCTTTTTCTGATATTATAGACAATGCTGTAATTTACGTTTTCACATAAATAACAACCTTTTCCTCTTGAATTTTTTCCTTAGTAAAATTCTAATTATAAGATTACTATGTCAGAAAATATAAACATTCCAATGTTTGACATTTTTATACACCTTTATACTTCAAAAGTACCTAGAAATGTAATTATATTACCTCTCCATACACCAGTTTACTGAACTAAAATTTCTTCCTGACCAGCTTTCTAGTATTTGTCAAAAATCTTACCGAGGCATTCTCTTCCCTTTGTTTTTATCTATACCATCCTTTTACTCAGAATGCAAACAGCTCCTATGATTTATAAGTCCCAAACCTACATATTTGTATTCCTAAATGTGAGATTTTGTTCCAAAATTTAACATTTGGTAGAAAAAATCACAAATCACTGGGGAAAAAAGAACATTCAAGAGGACTGTCTTACACAGTTCAAAATGCCCAAACATAAAACTGAAATTACCTTAAGAGCTACAAGCAGTGTAACTGTTTCAACTGAATAATATCCTCTGTCAACATAATCGCCCATAAACAAGTAATTTGTATCTGGTGATTTGCCACCAATTCTAAACAGTTCCATGAGATCATGAAATTGCCCGTGCACATCTCCACAAACAGTGACTGGACATCGAACCTCTTGCACGTTGGATTCTTTTGTCAGGATTTCTTTAGCCTAAAGATGCAGAAAAAATAAAGCAATTCATTTGGCATTAAAACATTAACAAAGATATGTTTACTTACACTCAACAGCTTAAGGAGTAGACTCAGCATAAGAAGAAAATGCAGGTATTTATGATCCCGTTAAAATAAGAAAAGATATGGCTAGATTCTATCATTGGCTCTCCCACTCCTGATACCTAGAAAAATACGTATTAAGACAAGATGCACAGCCCAGTTCCTATCACCAATCAGGAGTTTTTTAAGCCCATCAAATTGCCATCTAACTAAATGCTAAAGAGATCATTATTAGCAGCCATACAAGGTCAATGAAAATGGAGCAAGATGGTCAGGCACCTACTTCCTTAGCTTTAGAGTTCTAATTAAAATGCTGTCAACTCGAAGATTCCAGGCCATAGAGGTTTCTTAATCCTGATTGGCTTTTTAATTTTTTTTTTTTTTTTTGGAAGACATTAAAATTTTCTCTGTATTTTGGTGTATTTCTTTATACTATTTATACCAAAAGACAAACTTTTTGTTTTACAATTGGACAATACACATGCTTTTTGTGATGCTTTTAGAAAATTATTTGGCAGCAAATGGATTCCCCCGTATAATCACAAACTCAAACATTACTTTTTTTTTTTTTTTTAAAGATGACCGGTAAGGGGATCTTAACCCTTGGCTTGGTGTTGTCAGCACCACGCTCAGCCAGTGAGCAAACCGGCCATCCCTATATGGGATCCGAACCCGGGGCCTTGGTGTTATCAGCACCGCACTCTACCGAGTGAGCCACAGGCCAGCCCTCAAACATTACTTTTAAGGGTGTAGTAACATTTCACTCAGTAGAAATCTTATCATTCATTCATTCTATAAACATTTATTGATCATTTACAATATGCTAGAAACTGTAAAATACAATGGGAGATACTCATTTGCTCAACCATCTGAGTGACTACTATATGCAGGCCCTGTGCTAGCCACTAGAGAGAGAGTGGTGAACCAGATAGGTCATTCACATTGCAGTGGAGGGGAGAAAGACCACAAACAAATAACCAAGCAAAAAAAGTACAGACTATGGTTAAATGCCATGAAGTAAAGGGAGAGAGAAGGTAATTGGGGGAGAACACTTTAAATAACACATCGCAACAAATTACCATAAGTATTGCTAATAAGCCAGTTTACTAATTACATTTTGAGTGATAACCAAAGATGACAAGGACTGAGTTTAAAAGCAGTGGTAAACAACCTTAACTACACATTAAAAATCCCAATGCCAAGGTTCCCCTCCCAAGTACCAGTAATTTTTAACCTCCCCCACTACTTCTTGGTTCCTCGGTGCAACCAAGTTTAAGAAACACTATTTTCACATCTGCAAACATTTTGGGGAGCCTATTTCAGAACACTCACCAACCAATGACATCCCAAAAATAACTACTCATTTGATCGAACATTTTACTGAATTTAGAAAAAATGTCCACTGTGTCTCAAAAAGAGATATTAAGAAACTGTTAAGTTCTACTTTATTTTGAAACTTTTCTCTCTAGGGTAATTCCAACCCCCCCTGATTTATTATTACTAAAAACCAGAAGTTCACTAAGGCATATTCCACTACTAAGTCTGTCTGGCCTTAGCACTGTGTCTAGTGTTTTCGGCACCTACTACACACTAATGAAAATAGCTGTGAATGAAATGACAGGTCCTACCTTCAAAGAAATTTGCAAAAGTTATTCAGAAGTGTTTTTTTTCCCTCTTTTTCCTGTTTTATTCAGAAGTTTTAAAAGGATGATGACTGATGTAAGAAAACATATGGTCACATACCGTGTAAATCTTGCCATGATGTAATTTTCACATTTAATTACACCAGAAGTTAAACTTCAAAGTACATCTCTGGATACATGCTTACCTGAAAGGCTGTTTTCTACATGAATGATAAATCTAGTCAAAATTTCTGTTCAAATCATGAAAGGAAAAGTAAGCCTATATGCTATTTGTTTCTTTTATTTCAATTTAGGAAAATCACAATGATAAGCACTTATCTGTTTTTAAAACTATACAAGTTATACACAGTGATGCATTCTTTTAAAAATTTTTGGCACAGATAAAAAGTCGCCTTTGACTGCTCTCCACAATCCCACTCCCCTTGGGTGAAGTAACCGATAGCATTTTGATGTTTATCTCTTCAAAACCGTTTTCACAAATTTTACATATATATTTTATGCCTATGGAAACATAATAGTTTTTCCTCTGCATTTTTAAACAAGAAATATTGTTCAGCACCCTGCTTCTCTAACAATATATCTTGGAGAATTCATAATGCATACATACAGACCTGGTTAATGTCCCCTAGTGGATGCAGCGTATTCCCTGACAGGTTACAATTGAGGGTGAGTGTGTGAGTGAGAGAGAGAGAGAGAGAGAGAGACAGACAGAGAGAGAGAGAGAGAGAGAAAGAGAGAGAGAGAGTGTAAAAATACAATACAACAATATATATCCTAGTACATTTGCTCCCCTGTATACATATGCAGGCACATTTGCTCCCCTGTATACATATGCAGGCACATTTCCTAAGAGAAGACACTATGAAGTGGACTTACTAGTATATCTGGTAATTTGCATTTTTAAATGTTGACACTACCAAATTGTCCTTCAAAATGGAAAGGACACAATGACAAGTCAAAAAATTTTAATTTTGAATCTGGGAAAACCACCCAAAGCTCTTTCTTCTCTTCCTACCAAAGTTCACAGACCAGGAGAAAAATTATAACTAATTGCTGGAGAAAGTAGTGGTATATACCAGATGCAATCATCAAAACAGTTAGTATTTTAACAAAACTGCAAGCTTACAAAGAACCAGTTTTAAATATGCTTTTTTGGGTTTTTGTCTCATCAATCATCAGTGTCAAAGGTGGCTATACAATAGTCCCCACTCCCCTATACACAGTTCCAGCCATCCACAATGAACCTGACCCCAAAACAGTACTCACAGTACGATATTTTCAGAGACCACATTCACATAACTTTTATTAAAGTGTAGTTATAATTTTTCTATTTTATCATTATTCTTAATCTCTTATTGTATAATCTCTTACTATGTCTAACTTATAAATTAAATTTTATTCTAGGGCTGGCCCTGTGGCTCTGCAGCGCTGATAGCGCCGAGGCCACGGGTTCGGATCCTATATAGGGATGGCGCCGGTGTGCTCACTGGCTGAGTGTGGAACGGACGACACCGAACCAAGGGTTGCGATCCCCTTACCGGTCAAAAAAAAAATCATAGTTACATATATACATATATATATATATGAAAAAACACTGTGTATATATGTGATTCAGTACCATCCACAGTTTCAGAAATCCACTGGGGGTCTTGAAACATATTCCCCTCAGATGAGGGAGTACTACTGTACAATCTCAACTCTTTTGTTCAATACTCAAAATAAGTGGCAGGTCCAGACTTCCAAAGTAATTTAATTAACAGAGATTTTTAAAAAATTTAATAAGCACCTTTTCATTCTCTGGCATTTTGACTCCTATAAGTTAAAGCCTCATGTCACCTAACTATGCACCGAAGCATAAACAAAACCAACACAACACCAAAATTTTTTTGCTTCCCCCAAAACATTTTTTCCAGGCCTTGAAATTTCTCAGCTAATATAATTTACATTTGAAAAAAAACTGAGATAAAGTTTTAAAGTTACTGTGATTGATTCTGATTTTTTTTTTTTACAAACCTTCTGAAATTCCAGTACACACTGGAATAAATTCAACCAGGAAAAAAAAAAATCAATATGAACTTCCTAGAACAAGGTCCATTCTATTAACAAAACTTACGACAAATAAAAATGGTAAGTAAAAATTTTATACCGCCCTAGAATCCAATTTGGAGATTCACCAATAAGAAAACAATCTGTGGGGATATTACCTTATTATCAATGTACTCTCAGCATTCTGGGTTGAGTCAGAAATCTCAGAACTTTATTTTCAACCTACTACGAAATACAGTCATACGCTGCATAACATTTCAGTCAACGACAGACTGAATATACAATGGTGATCCCGTAAGATTATAATACCATATTTTTACCGTAACTTTTCTATGTTTAGATAAACAAAATCTTACCACTGTGTTACAACTGCCTTCAGTATTCCATACAATATCATGTTATACAGGTTTGTAGCCTAGAAGCAACAGGCTATATACCATGCAGCCGAGATCTGTAGAAGGCTATATCTAGGTCTGTGTGAGTACACTCAAGTATGCTCTATGATGTTTGCACAATGACAAAATTGCTTAATGATGCATTTCTTCAGAACATATCCCCTTAATTCAGCGATACATGACTGTAATCAGCTATAAGGTAAATGACCAGTAGATCTGTTTGACATTCTTGAATATAGGTCATCCTAATCACCATAGTAAAATGAAATTACAAATAAAGCAGGCTTAAACTAGACTTCATAAATCATCTATGCCAAGATTATCCAAAGCAGAAAATTAAAAGAAAAAAACTATGAACAGACCCACCAACCACATATTTATAATTTCCTTAAGAGCATACAATAACTACACTGTCTAACTTATATTGTAGAAAAAATCTACACAACACATTTTTGCATTTCTATATTTAACCAAGGAAAGCTTTAAAAGCACAAAATGATTACAACCATGTCAAAATTCTTTGTATAAAAAAAGACTGAAAAAATATAAAATATTAAAAGATTTTGTTTAGTTCAGTGGTGAAACTCTAAGATATTGGCTGCCTTATTCCTACCAACAAAAGTACTCTCATTTTGTTGTATTACCGTTCAGTTTTTATCCACATGGATACATTATTTATTATCGGTCAACGTCTCATTTTGTATCCTCAAGTTTCATATTGACTAACTGAAGTCCCCATAACATTACAGTGACAGTTTAAAACTAGTGTATAACGTCCTCATGAACAGATCTATACATGTATTATTGTTTTTAATTATGGAATTACAGAGCAATATAGTATGAATATTTTTGAA